CTCAGTGAACGGATCTGCCACCCGTCAGAATCTTGCAGCACCGGTAATTTCTTGTTTAAAAATCTGTGTAACTGAATCCTTTGGATACTGAGGGAGTTAGTTTATTGTGTCAACCTGGCCGATAAACACATGTGGGGTTAATTGAAGGGCGGAGGGATAAATGGCTCAGAGAGCTTCACCTTTCTAGCTCTTGGGTCTCTTGCTTTCTGATGGTCGGACCATGGTGCAGCTGCCTTGGCTAGTTCCCTGCTTTAGCTGGCAAGGCTCACTTCCTGCAAGACATCCCCAAGGAGAAGCCACATGGACCGACCCCGATGCAGCCCTGGATGCTGGAGCAGCCATGTGGAGACCCCTGCCAGCGCAGAGATGCTTACACATTCACTGGCTCAGTTTTCCTCCTGCAGTCGACATCATTGCGTCTGTTTTGTGGGATAGAGGAGGACTTTGTGCATTGATGTTGGACATATGGGTTAATGTTGGACTTGTGAGCTTGGGCAGCACTGGGTTGGGATGTTTTCTTGATGTGCACTCACCCTTTATATAAAACTCTCTCTTATACATGCATTTTTGTGGATTTGTTTCTCTAAAGTACCCAGATACCTTACGTTGATGGTCTCTCTCATCTGGATTTGTCTTTGGCTTGTCTTTTTCCTGTTTAATAAATGCGTTAATAAACGAGACTTCATAAACGAGTCTCTATAAACTGCATTAGAATGGGGGGGAGTTTTCCAGCTGAACAATTCTTTGCTTTGAGCTCCTCAAATACACTGGCCTTTGCACAGGCTCACCTCGCTGCCTAGAATCTCTGCCGAATCTGAACACAAACAGATCGCCTACAGATTCGAAATCCCCCAACCCCATGTAGTCTACCCACCTCGTCCGGTCCGTCTCAGTCTGCTGCTTTAGAAGACATCCTTCTCTGTTGGCTGAACACACCCACAAGACCCATGCATGTGCCTCTTTGAGGCATGGGTTCATCATATTTGTCAGCACCAGAGCGAAGCCTCTCCTATTCGCTCTCTAGCGTGTAGTCTGTGTGCTGAGAACCTTGTCTTTCTTGTCCCATATGCGGAACTTCCTGTCCCACAGACTCAGAACAAAGAAATGAAGGAATCTTACCCCACTCTTTCAATAGGCCGCATTCTCTTCTCTACACGTCTGCATGTGGAAGGGCACGCTGTTCAGCAGGGATGAACAAACCAGGCCCCCCAGTGCTGACTGAACCCTGAACACTCTCAGTGACTTTGACCCACGTCTGGACTTGACATTTTCCCCAAAGGCCACATCCCAGCTTGTGTTTGGAAAGGGATTATTTAAGTACCTGACTAAACCGTGGCCTCTCCTCTCAGACAAGGTTTAATATTTGACAGTCAGCTAAAGGAAATGATCTTTGTAACAAAATTTCCTCCTCTGGAGCATTTTATAAATATCAAACAAAGTACTGATAATCCAAAAACTTTGGCCTCTTCCTGTGATGGTTTTGAGAAATAAATCTAAGATCATTCCTGTAATTTTACATGGAAACAGCCTAAGGTCTGTGATCATACTAACAGAATTCCTGTGCGAGAACTGGATCTATCCTAATGAAGAACTGGAAGAAATATGTTAAATTAATGGTGGAAACAGACTCATGTAGACAGATTCTGTATTTCATAAGTCATACGTACACAGTGAGCTGATCAATTAACATGGAAAAAGAAAACTGGAAGATGGGCACAGATTAAGCTTCAAACATTCTTTTTAACCTGCTCTCTGGCATGTTGCAAAATATAGTTCACCTCTATCCTGTCACAATAAAGAATTCACCTTTGAAGGACAGCACAATGTGGATACACTATTCTGTGCTTCTGGTTAAATACCTTATTATGCTTAGCTTGAGTGACTTTAAAAGTTCAAGTCCAGTAGAAGCTGAACTTTGTAACTTAATGTCTATTCAGAAATACCAGAAGGCAATTTACCACGTAGACACAACCGCTGGACCATGACTGTGGGTGTGGCCGTTTCAAGAGGGCGGGGTCAAGAGAGACATTGAAAGTGTAGTGCCCTCTAGGGTCAAGGCCTACCACAGGAGGAGGAGAATTTAATTAATGATTTCCACCAACGAGCGGATTCAGGAGACATGGCGTTTCTGCAGGTGCAATTTGGCGTCTTCCAGCCCATCCTCCTTGCCTCATTTTGCCTTTGCCCATGAATCAAGAAGTAGGGAAACACCTCGTCTCTGAGAGGCTTTCTGTCTGACTCGGCATACTGAAAAGATCAAAAAGGCCCTCTCTCTACATAGCACAGATGCTTTGTGGTTATCATGAGTAGTAAATATCAGATACAAGATACCAATCTTTTCTGGAACAAGTACAGCCAATCGTTCACGGACTTGGCTTCGTCTCATGTACTTTCAGCACGTTCTCAAGAGGGACCAGCCCCTGTTAAGGGTCATCCTGCTTGGTACAGTCGAGGGGCAGCAAAACAGAGGAAGCCCCTCGCTGAGTGAGACCGACACAGCGGCCCAACAGTGAGCTCAAACATAACACTGGTGAGGATCACGCACAACCGGGCGGTTTCCGTTCTGTTGTGCATCCCTAGATCGCTATGACTCAGAACAGACTCAACACAGAAAGCACTTCAGTGTTTTCTGCATTTCCGCCCAGCTATCAGTGCTAGTGTTTATAGTGTGCAGACGCTAAATCCTATGTCTAATTGGCTGGCCATCGATGGGTAACACTTATGTCCTTTAACCTTCCAACATGTGTTAGAACTTCGTGGCTGTTTTTGTTAGGTGCCACAGGCTCCAGGCCACGGCAACTCCGTGTGCAAAAAAACAAAAACTCCAGGGCGTCAAAAATTATTTTTAGGAGAAGGAAGGATATGGATTTTAAGTGTATTTTAATACATCATACAGTACCTTACTTAGACAGTCTTTGATTGGTCAATGGGAAATTCTTAAACATTTATTACGTGCTGTGTACTCTGCTAACTGCAAGGTCAGCAGTTCAAAACCACTAGCCACTCTGTGAGAGAAAGATGGGGTTTTCTACTCCCATAAACAGTGACAGTCTTGGAAACTCACAGGGGCAGTTCTACCCTTTCCTGTAGGGTTGCTATGAGTCAGAATTGACTCAATAATGGTGAGGTTCGGTTGTTTAGTTTTGTTTTTAAACTTTCCAGGACCAAGGACTTTGTAAAATAAGACAGCTATGGTCCCTTGTCTCATATGCGGCAGGAAGATGTGGGGCACGGTCCATCCAGTAAATAGGTGAGGGAGGTAGACTTTGGGCAGGTCAACAAAGAGACACAGTTTTATGAAGTGTGATGGGGAAGCAAGTTCCCTGCAGGAAAGGAACAGTGGGACCCATTCTGCCTTACGTGGTCAGGACACTTCAACCTGGAGAACGAAAAGAAGCCGCCACAAAAACAGGGGGCGGGGTGGGGGGTGGGGGCTTTTGTTGCTAGCCGAACAGCAAGTACCAGATCCCTGTGGCCAGAAAGAAGAGCTTGATTCCTTCCAGAACCTGAAAGGAAGCCAAATCAAGGGGAGAATGATGAGGGAGGAAGCAGGAGGAAGATGAGGCTGGCGTGGGACGCAGCACGAATCAGGGGAGGACTTGTCGGATGGGCCAGCACTGAACGGTTTAGGGTGAGCTGGAGCTAGAGGTGACTCTGGGATGGGAGCAGCTTGCATTTCGTAAAGCTTAAGCTAGCTGGTGGTAGAGAACCGGCTAGGATGGGAACAGAGTAGGTGAGTGATCACGGCAGTTCTTTAAGGTGGGTCATCTGAGAACTCAGAGCTGGTGCTGGAGCAGATGCAGGGGCTGAGGGAGGGACAGCATCATGGACCTATGGAGATGGTGGGGGGAGGTGTGCGGTGGCAGGGGCTGGGTAGAGGGAGACCAGGCACAAAAGCCCAAGTCTCAGGAGTGGAAGGGGGAAAGCAGGTGCCTGCATCAGGTTCACAAGGGGCAGTTCACTTCAACTGGAGCATAAAGACAAAAACAGAGTTGGAAAGAATTGTTGGTCCATCAAGGTATGTCTTGAATGTAACACTAAGAATGCCTAAACTTCATCCCATCAGACACAGGGACCGATCCAAGGTTTGAGCTGGGGGGGTTAGTCCAAAATGAGTCCTTTTCTGAACCTCAATGTCTCACCTGGATAATAGGGCTACTTTTACTGTCCATGCAGTGTGAGGATCTGAGGGTTGGCAAGTATGCTGACCCCTGGCCCCTTGCAGCCCCAGCAAGGCTTATTGTCCAGAAGCAGAGCAGCTGTTTCCAGTTCCTTTGGAAGAATGTGTGTCTCAGAAACACCTGACACGTGATATTTCATCTCGGTGGCAGGGCCAGATGGGAAATCTGAGCTGGAAAATGTACGTGTCAAAACAGAGCATATTTTAAAGTTCTCTTGTAGCAGACAAGTCAGGTCTGTATTTAGTTTCATTTTATTTTGTTTAGGATGAAATAGGGGCTGCAAGGAAGGAACAGCTGTTGGAAACAAAGACGCAGAAAGGATAGAGAGCAGACTGCCCGAGCATCCGATCTAGTATTAAGACGGGGTGCAGGGGAGACAGAGAGAGAGAGGGGGGTGGGTGAGCAGTGTCTGGGTGGAGTGTGTGAGAAGATGTGCCTGAGCAAGACAGCTGACAAGCGTGTGAGTGTGCCACTAATATGGAATTGTGTTCAAAAGAGGACGTACGTAGTGCCAAAGCATGTGTCTAAGTGAGGAGGTGTGTGTGCGCGTGAGGATGAGGGGGTGACTGCGAGTCTTTGTCAAGGTGGGCAAACATTGTGCGTGTGTACATGTGTGGGGTGGGCGTGCATGTCGTTAGGGGCAGAGGGCAGATGGCGTAGAGACTTCAGCAAGGTAAGCTGCCTATTTCCACTGCTCCTACCATGCCAGAGCCAGGGACCGCAAGGCTGGCATGTCGGGGCTGGCAAGAGCCTCCTCTCTCGGGGACAGCAAGCCTTTCCAGTAACAGACAGAAGTCGCTGCAGCACGAGGAGCCTTACCGGGCGGAGCTGTCCCGGGAGCGCCGAAGCCATCTGGCCACCATCTGTTCGATTCGGTGTGCTTTCCGTGTCTGGAGTAAACTGCTCTCCAGCTCTTCCATTTATCTGAAAGGAAGAAGAGTTTGCTTACGAAGTGAGTCAAAATATTTTGAAGTGGCGTCCGGCTCATTGTGGGGATGGTTCCTGTGTCGGCCCATTTTAAGACATGCTCCTCAAAGAGGCCGAAGGCGCCCGGGAGGCCAGGAGGTTGGGATTTCCTCGCAGGGACCGGGGGCAGGTTCTCAGGAAGGGCCAGTGGCTGCAGAAGGACCTGGTGCTCAGGACCGCCGAAGGGCAGTGAGAGAGAGCAAGGCCTTCCAGGAGACAGATGGACGCTGCGGTTGTAACAGGGGGCGCCCACGTCCCGAGAACTGGGAGAAGGGGCGGCCGCGTGGCCAGGCACGAGTTCGATCTGTGGTACATCGGGATGCTATGAGTAAGAACAGATTGCACAGCCGCTAACAACCACAATCAAATCCACTCGGCTTCTCTGGAATCCACACAAACGGTGTTCCACGTCCACAGCAGTAAGCCATGCGTCTGCCCTAAACAGACCACGTTTTCCCAAGGTTGTGCGTGTCCCCGGACAGACACTGCAGTCCCGCGGTCCTTGCAGTGGGGAACGCGGTGTACACAACCCCTTTTCTAATCACATTGTGCTATTTCTGTGGGCGCCAGCGCTTTTGCTCAACACGTCAGATCTCCACTTTGAACGGGCAAGTCATTCACAGAGTTCAAACACCAGGCAATAATGAGACACAATGAATGGCTGCCATTCAATTTTTACCTGTCTGCCCCCACCCAGGCCCCACATCTACACAAAATCACTCCTCTCAGGTCCCTCTCTGTCCTTCCAGTTTCTTTGTCTAAACAAGCCGATGCAAATATCAATGGGGTATTTCCTTACCCCACAGCTGCTCTACACCACACTCTCTCTCAGAATAGAGTCTAAAAAATCATTCCACAGCAGGGCCTGAAGTTCTTTTTCATTCTTTTTAACTACTACTGAGTATCTCATTGTGTGAATGTGCTTTAATTTAAAAAGCAACCCCCTGTTGATAGGCTTACTGCCAATCTTTTGTTACTATAAACCATGTTGTCCCCCAAGAAGAATTTGTTTCAGAGGACAGCACTGAAACTGCATCTCCGGGAGAGGGACATGTCTGATCAGAGCACATGGGAGCAAATGAGGGGGGGGAAGAGAGTGGAGCACATCCTGGCCCACCACGCCTTAAGGGCGTTTTTTCCCACTCAGGGCAGCCAATCCACAGAGAAGACCACAGGGCCGGCCCCACTGTGAGACTCGACATCCCTCACTGACCCATAGTGCTACAGGGGACAACACTGGAGACACAGTGTGGGAATTGCGCCCGATCGGATCCCACCGCACCGAGGCAAAACACTAAGGGTGTGCAACAGAACAGCAAGGGGAACAGAGCAACGAAGTCCCCAGGGAGTACCAAAAATAGACTTTCGGGCCAGGGCTTGGCACCCCAACAGACACAACTGGAAAACAGTCCTAAAGGCCAACAAACAGTCCTTGAACTAACTTTAAGCTTTTTTTCCTTGTTGTGTTTTGTTTTGTCTGTCATTGGCTTGTTGTTGTTGTTTTGCTTTATTTTGTTACTTGCTCTGTTTTGTTTTTGTGCATGTTATTATCTCTGCAGGTCTGTCTAAATCAGATAGGCTGGATGAACAATCTAGAGGAGAAAACAACAGGACCGACAGTTCTGGGGGGACATGGGAGAGGGGGAGGTGGGGGGAAAGGTATTGGCGTTAACAAACCCAGGGACAAGGGAACAACAAGTGATCCAAATCAGTGGTGAGGAGAGTGTAGGACGCCCTACAGGGCGTGACCCAGGGTAATGTAACCAAGAGGAATTCCTGAGACCCAAATGAAGACTGAGCATGATAGTGGGACAAGAGGAAAGTAAAAGGAAATAGTGGAAGGAGCTAGGAGGTAAAGGGCATTTATACAGATGTAAATAAAGGCATGCACATATGTACATATATTTATATATGAGGATGTGGACATAGATCTATATGCATATATGTATAGATTTTGTATTAAGGTAGCAGATGGACATTGGGCCTCCATTCAAGTACTCCCTCAATGCAAGAATACTGTTTTATTAAACTGGCATTCCTTGATGCTCACCTTCCCGATACAATCGCTGAAGACAAAACGGGTGCATAAGCAAATGTGGCGAAGAAAGTTGATGGTGCCCGGCTGTCAAAAGAGAGAGCCTTAAAGGGGCCTTAAAGGCTTGAAGGTAAATAGGCGGCCATGTAGCTCAGAAGCAACAAAGCCCACATGGAAGAAGCACAACAGCCTGTGCGATCACAAGGTGTCGAAGGGCTCAGGTATCAGGCATCATCAGAACAAAAAATCATATCATTGTGAATGAGGGGGGGCAGTGTGGAGTGGAGACTCAAAGCCCATCTGTAGGCAATTGGACATCCCTTTACGGGAAGGGTCACGAGGAGGAGATGAGACAGTCAGGGTGCAGTGTCGCCAATGATGAAACATACAACTTTCCTGTAGTTCCTAAATGCTTTCTCCCTGCACATTATCATGATCCCAATTCTCCCTTACAAATCTGGCTCAACCAGAGGATGTTACGCTGGTACAGATAGGAACTGGAAACACAGGGAATCCAGGGTAGATGACCCCTTCAGGACCAGTGGTGCGAGTGGCAATACCGGAAGGGTGGAGGGTGGGTGGGTTGGAAAGGGGGAACCGATTACAAGGATCTACATATAACCTCCTTCCTGGGGGACGGACAACAGAAAAGTGGGTGAAGGGAGATGTCGAACAGTGCAAGATATGACAAAATAATAATTTATAAATTATCTAGGATTCAAGTGGGAGGGGGCACAGGGAGGGAGGGGAAAATGAGCTGATGCCAGGGGCTTAAGTGGAGAGCAAATGTTTTGAGAATGCTGAGGGCCCTGAATGTACAAATGTGCTTTACACAATTGATGTATGTATGGATTGTGGTAAGAGTTGTATGTGCCCCTAATAAGATGATTGAAAAAAATGTTGCTATTATAAACAATCAGCTAAAAAACAAAAATAATCAGCTACGTTATCTATTTGCCACTTCTACATGTACGTTAGCACATATGTGGGTAAGTTCCCAAATATTGAATTGCTGGGTCAAAGGTTAAATAGGCACACATCAGGGATATTGCAAGGATAGTTCCAGACTGCTAGAATGAAGCAATATCACAATGAAGAGTCACACAGTCTTTGGGGGGTTTCCTCTCCACACTCCCTGCCCTTCAGCCGATTCTTATTTACAGCAAATGTTAGGACAGGGTGGACCTGCCCCTGTGGGTTTCCACGATTGTAACTCTTTTAGGAGAGCAGAAAGCCTCATTTTTATCCTGCAGAATAGCTGGTGGTTTCAAGCTCCATGCCTTGCAGTTAGCAGCCCAATGCATAATCACTATACTACAGTCTAATTGTGCAACAGCATCATAAAACAGTTGTGAGAATTATCGACATGTGACGCAGAAACTCTAACTGAGCACATGCTGTGGGGAAAAAAATGGTGCCGAGAGACACACGTCACCAGACTGTCACATACTTTCCATTTGCGAAACCATGCAGCATCTGCAAACCACAATGACGTGAAGCACAATAAAACCATGCTGGGTTCTGATAGTGTCTGCTCGCCAAGAAAGAATATATGTGGACTTGTGAGGAATTCTCCTAAGAAAATATGTACGAATGTTTCCCTATTTGAGTCTATTTCACGCTTTAAGATGTTAATCTCAATTCAAAAAATTAAGTGTACAGTCCAATAAATCATCATCCAAAGTACACTATTGGCAAATAAAATCTTAGTTACAAATAAAAATTTTAAATATATATATAACCAAAAGATCAGTGATTCAAACCCACCAGCTGCTCCACAGGAGAAAAGATCTGGCAACGTCCTCCCAGGAGAGGTGCAGCCTTGGGAGCCCTCCATGGAGGGCAGATTTACTCTGTCTGATAGGGTCACTATCCTCATTCTATCCTGCTGCTGTAACCAAAATGCCACCGGTGGGTGGCTTTGACAAGCATCCAGGTATTCTCTCAAAGTGTAGGAGGCTGGCTACCTGAGTGCCGGTCCTAGGGAAAGGCTCTGTCTCTGTGCCAGCTCTGGAGGAGGGTCCTTGTGGAACCCTTAGAGATCCCCTTGTGTCTTGACATCCATCTTTCCCTGGGTCTAGGGCAGCAATTCTCAACCTGTGGGTTGCAACCCATTTGGGGGGTCGAACAATCTTTTCACAAGGGTTGCCTAAGACCATCAGAAAACACATATTTCCGATGATCTTAGGAACCGAGACACCACTCCTCTATCTGTCTGCAGGCAGATATGCCCACAAAGGAGTACCCGGCGTGATGACACCATCGTGCCAACCCCATCACATACACCCCGTACAAATATAGGTGTACGTGGCCGGGTAAAGTACTTAAGTGGACCAGTCACACGAGTGGACAGCAGCTACTGTGTCGTTGGTTTCCCCTCTTCACTCTTACACATGGGCATGTAAGGAAAGGCTACATTTTCTATGAAAAACCAACCAGAACAAACATGGGAGCTCAGAAGAGAGAGAGGCAAAGACACACAAGAAACGGAAGAATCAAGTTGTAGTTTATCCTTTTAATTCAGGGCTTCAAACTGGTTCATTCTGGTCCTACCTCCTTCTGAGAATGGTCATTTCTACCCAGACACACCAACTCAGAATCTACATTTTAACAAAAATCTCCAGGTGATTCTTAAAGAAAGATGGGAAACCAGAAGAGGATTATTTGTTGTTGCTGAAAATGAGAACAATGAGAAAATAAGAACAAATGGTAACTACAAATAAGATAAGTGGAAGAAAAATATTCAATTACAAAGCAGAGAAATGTAGTCAATGAAATTTACAGAACAGAAATCCAAAACCATAGCCAGGGGAAGCATAAAGAATTCGGTGATGCATATTAATCTACGAGGTTCCAGAGTAGGAGAGCCTGAAGGAAAGGACAAAGAAAGTGGAGGTAAGAGAATTAACACGTCATTTAATTA